CTTCCTCACCTCAGCTCAGACTGCACCAGCTGCACCTGGGAGTGGACACCTGTGGAGAGGGAATAGCAGGGGATGAAGTCATGTTGACTGGCCCTGTTCCCCTCCTCTGCCAAATGACTGAGGGAATCCCTTACCTGAAGCCAACACCACCAGGAAGAGGATTCTCCAGCTCCAATCCATGGTGAGGTGCTGTGCTCTCACGGTTTCTACAAAGGATTGTGTGCAACTGTTGGGTGATGTTCTCAGGGCCCAAACATGTGTATATTTAAGTGAGTACACCTTGGCTCATTTGCATATTCACAAAGCAGAATATTTCATATCAGGAAATGGCTCATTCAGAGAGGAAACACATCAGAGGGGAAACACATTCCTGGGATACTGAGGTCCCACATCTGAACATCTGTTTGAGGATATGCACCCTTGCCACATCCCCGACTCTGTGTTGCCAGGGCTCTTTCCACTGAGAATGAGCCCGAGTACAGAGCTGTGGAGGCTACTGGGTAAGGCAATTTCCTTAGGAGCAGAAGCGAATGCTGATCTGGGAACAGGGGTCCAGGGATGGCAAACCTGATGTGTCAGTCCCTGTGGACCAGTGTCTGTGATGCCCTGTGCACCTCCCTTCTCAGGTGAAGAAGGGGGGTCTGGGTAGAGAAATACCTGAACCTGAGTCACGTCACCTGGATGATGTGTCTGATAGACCCAAACGCACATATTGTAATGAAATGCTGGTAAACCTAACATAACTATGTGTGTAAAAATTACATATTCCTACAGAGTCTCTTCTAATTGTAGTGTGTTGAAATGTAAACATCAAGAAGTCATCCCCCTATTTAAGATAAAAGTCATGATCATCAAACAAAAATGATTTAATTAATGAAAGATGTCTCACTTAATGGTAAGTGACTGAACCATTTCCTTGGAAGCCATGAACAAGGTTCCATGATACCCTGTATCATTATTTTCATGGATAAAGAAGATATGATATATATATATACAATGGAATTTACTACTCCATAAAAAAATTTGCAAAGACATTGATGGAACTAGAAACTATTAAGCGAGCATGAAATAAGTCGACCAGGTAGAGACAATTATCATACAATTTCACTCATATGCAGAATTTAAGAAACAAAACACGATCATGGGGGAAGGAAGGGAAAAATAAAATAAGACTAAATCAGAGAGTGATACAAACCATGAGAGACTCTTAAGTCTATGAAGCAAACTGAGGGTTGCTAGAGGTGAGGGGCTGGTGTTTGGGGTAAGTGAGTGATGGACATTGAGCATGATGTGTGATGTAATGAGCACTGGGTGTTATATGCAACCGATGAGTAACTGAAATTTACTCCAAAACTAATGATACACTCTATGTTAATTAATTGCATTTAAATTAAATTGAAAAAACCTTTTCATTTGGAGAAGAGAAGTAACAAGTACTAAATATGTAACAACAAACCAAATCCCTATTATTCATGTGTGACATGAGGAATCTGGTTTCTGGTCAGATCTGTCAAAGCCTGGAAGTCTGTAGTTTGCCCATAAGCTGAACAACTGGAAGTCACCAGCTCTTCTCAGACCCACCAGAGATTTGTGATAGGATATCTTTTTCTGATCAGGCGGCTGTGAAAAATACCACTGCCTGGGTAAGGTATAAACTATAATAATGAATTCCATCAGAATTATGAAAGATGGAAGTCCAAGGTCAAGTCATGCAGCACATCCATGCTCACTCACTCAGTCTGTGCTGGGAGGGGGTCAGTCCCAGTGATCTCCAGAATGTTGTGGACAGTAGGTCCAGGCTTTTCTTTAGAGGCTCATATTGCTCTCAGGGTCTTGACGAGGAGATTCGGGGTTATGCTGAGATAGTCAACCCATAACCACCCCCTCATCAAGTATTTCCACATCCTTTCTGATTGCTTTGGAACAAGACCTCTCCTTTCTTCCAGTAGGAACAGGCTGAGAGTTTTCCAAAATTTTCAGTTCTGCTTCATACTGATTAATGATTATGTCTTCATATCATTTGTTCTTCCCACACTTTACCATAAGAATTCAAGAGAAACCTTGCTGATGCTTTAAGCCTTTGTTCAGAAATTCCCTCAGCCTCTTACCAAGTTGCACTCTCCCATGTTCTTCCTTTCGGATCTCAATGCAAACAAGCTCTCTACCCTTCTACAGCATAGGTCACCTCCTCTTCATTTCACAAAGACATTCCTCATCTTGGTGTGACATCATCAGAGTGGCCCATAATGTTTATGTCTTACCACATACAGTCCATAAGCATTTAGATACTCTCTAGGAAGATTGGGGCTTTCATTGTAGGTCTCTTCTTTCCTTCTGGGGTCTCCCATGAATCACCCTTTACGACCCCTTCCTGTCAATGTAGACTTCTTCTGCACACATCTCAGAAGCTTGCTAGCCCTTTTCCATTACTCAGATCCAAACAGCTTCCATGATTTAGGTCCTTATTGCAGCAGCTGCACACTTCTCAGGATGGTATAACAGAGAGCATAAACCAGGTGGCTTAGAAATAAATTTCTCACATTTCTGGAGCCTTCAAAGTGCAAGATCAAGATATTGGTATATTTGCTGTGTAGTGAGTGCCTCCATCTGGATCATTGGGCATGTCTTTAAACTGTCTTCATATGGCAAATGGAAGGTTTTGAGGATCCTGTGGGATCATAACAGCTCTGATTCCATTAATAACCTAACATTCTCCCAGAGCCCTTGCTCTTTTGCCATCTCATTGGACATTACATTAGAACACTTGAATTTGCAGGGGACACATATATTCAGATCATAGTTCAGGGAAAACTGTGACCCAAAAATTGCATTTACAAATGGGCATATGCAAGGAATCACAACTTTCTAGGGCAAAAGCCACCCACAGATATATCCACAGGACCCACAGGAAAGTAGAGAAATTTCTACAGGACCCACAAGGAAATAGGAAAATTGAAAGGCAGATGGTGAATTGATGAAGGTTCAGTGTGGAGATGTCTGAGTTGAGGCTCCTGTGGAATTGGTGACAACCTTAGGGGTGTCCTACAAGTCTGTGTTTTAAGTCCAGAAGCCCCACCTCGTTCCCCCGGGAATGAAATGATGAACATTTACTGTGCTTCCGAGGTGGGGAAAGATCCTCTTGAGAAAATTTCTAGATAATTCAGGAACTGGAGGAAGTTAAATGCCACCATCCAGTTCATTCTAGATTTTGCGTGGGGTACAGGAAGCACGCCCTTCTCTCCCCTCCTCTTCTCTCTTCCTGTGTCACCTCAGTGAGGTATAATCTGAGATTCTCTTGTGAGGATGACATCAAGGGTCTCAGGTCAGGGATAGAAACACCAACCATAGACTGTATACACGCGTCTATACCCACACCTTATCCCCCTACCATAGGGATCTTCTATAATAACAAGAAAAAGCAAAGAGAGCTAGAAAACCAGAAGTTATTTTTGAATTCTATATGGAATCCAGCTCAAAATGAGACAAAACCAGGGACATGAGAGGAAATGTCAGTGTTGTCTCATCAGAGGTTGATTCATTATTTTTCTTCTGAATCATAGTGTGGGCTACAGTTCCCAGGTTAACCCCACTTTAAGGTTCTGTCATCATGGTAGACATTCGTTTTTGAGCCTCACTCTACAACTGGCACCTGGTGGGGATCAGGAAAGAGTGACAGAACTCCAGCCCCATGGGGCTCAAGGTCCAGGACAGGTTGAGGGAGAAGTTACAATAGGGCAGAGTGAGGACATGGTGACTTTCTGTGGGATAATTGAAGGATAGCACCAGATGGGCAAGGATCCAGGCTCTACCAGCCAGATCTGATGATTCATGTGGGTTTCCTGTTTGGAAGTCAGGAAACACGTTTCAGATGCATCCCCCAAGGCTGCTCTCATAGACTCCAGAACAGGACCCATCAGTACTGTGATAGGTTTTTGTCTCTGGTTGTCAACTTGCAGGTCATCCCGCCCGTTTCACTGGGGGACATCAGAGAGCGTATCCCATCAGGAGGTCTGCCTTTCCACCCAAGAGATGGAGCGGTGCCTCCAGAGGGACAAATCCTGATCACTAGTGTCCACCCACTTGGATAATGAGCCAGAGGATAAACTGTAGCTAGGAGGATAAGGACCCAGTTTGGGCAGATGTTCTTGGGGTATTTTCATAACCATGTGGAGGCAGAGTGTGCCTGCTGAGGGCAGAGAACAGGAACAAAGCTCTCAGAAAGCCTGGGCTGTGCAGGTGCTTTTCAGGGATGATGAGAATTCCTGCAGGTCCTTTTTGGAGAAAGAAAAACAGGATATGGATGAGGTTGATGAAGGAAAGTTCCCTAGGGACTGGTGAGATCTCATCTACACATATGTTATCTTGTTCTGGCTGGCTGCATGGAGAATATGAGAAATTAGAGAACGAAGAAATAACCATATATATCCCTGAGTGAATCTAGAGAGGCTAGAGGGGAAACCCCCTATCTCAATAGAAAGCCCCTCCCCCCCAACTGCCCCTGCTCCTGGGTCTGATTTGTGTCTGAGGTTCTTGAGTGCACTGTGCTGAAGTGAGCACCCCCTGGTGTCCCGAGCACATAAGAGCACTGAACTATCTGATCCTTCTGTCCTAAGCACTCCAAGGTGTCCTGAGAGCCCTTGTGCCCTGAGAGCCCCCTGGTGTTCTGAGTGACTCCTGGTTACTTGAGCACCTGTTGGGGGGACCTGAGCTCCCTCTGGTGACTGCAGCCCAGCTACTCCTGTGTCCCTGCAGGAAAGTATGTGTCTGGGCTCACCTGAAATGTGTACACACTGGGTACACACATTATAGTAACACACAGTGGTGTCCTCAGCTCTAAGGCTGTTCATCTGTAGGATCAGCATGTTCTTGCCATTGTCTCAGGAGATGGTGAATTGGTCCTTCACAGTGTCTTCATAGTACATGTAACTACCACCACTCATAATGGCTGAGACCCACTGCAGCCCCTTCCCTAGAGGCTGGCAAACCCAATCATGCCGTAGTCACCGAAAGCGAATCCAGAGGCTGTACAGGAGAGTCTCGGGGACCCCCCAGGCTTCACCAGTTCCCCCCGACTCCACCAGCTGCACCTCCCCATGGACACCTGCAGACACAAGACATCCTGGTCAGGTAACTATCCTTCACTTACTGTTTTTATTACTCATATCCACTTTCTTATTCAATGTTTCTTGATCTCTGTAAATTACCTTTGAAAAGAGTAACAGGGAAAACCCAGCCAAGAATAAACTCCATCATGAGCTGTCCTGTTCTGTCCTGAACACTGAATGGAAAGCCTGGGAATCCCGAGACTGAGGCTCCCATCCCAGCTTCAGGCTTGGGGCTGGGCTGGTTTAATCAGCAGAAGGTGAACCCTATTTGCATGACCCTTGACTATATAGCCAACATAGTATTGTATGGTATCTATACATAGTATAGGTGGTATCTGTACTTACAGAGGGGACAGTAACCAGAGCAGCTGTGACTGCCTTTGATTTGGTGATACCTACAGGATTTTGGAAAATATGATGTTTAATTATACGATTTTCAGAGTACCTGCTTGGTTTCCATTTATCCATTTAATTTCACATGGTCACACATATTGGGGTATAGGTATCATGTTTCTCCTTAAAGTGACATGATCCTACACCCAGAATTGTGGAGGGTTTGTGAGGTGTCCAAGAACACTAGGATGAGAGTGAGCCCCGGGATTTGTACCTGTGCTCCTCCCACAGGACCTACTACCTACCCTGAGCCCCCTTCAGGAGAGAGTGCACAGGCTCATGGAGATCGTGGGATCCTGCCTGTAGTGAGGACAAGATGACTTTGTTCTGGAATATATATGAAATTCAGAATCAGGGTGCATGCAGGTGTTCTTTCAAGTTTCTAAGGTTTCCCTGTCACTGTGTTCATCCCAAGGCATCTCTGGGATTATTTGTAATAGTTTTGGTGAATGTTCTTGATGCAGGATAGACTGCACACAGGCAGAGAGTGCGATATGAGAAACACAGGTGTCAGAATCAACAGTATCCAGAGCAAGCAAATCCATTTTCCACAAAATTTCCTGTATTTGCAATTCTTACTTCCTCATTCCTTCTTCACTCTGTCCTTACATAGCTATTGATCTTCATGTTACCTCACACTAGCTTTAATTTTCTAGAATATATAATTTTGTATTAGTATGAAATGTACCTTTATTTCTATGACTTCTATTGCTGAGCCAAATACTTGAGAATACCCCCGTATTTATTATGCTTTTTTTAATGATGGGCAGCTTTCCAAAGATTACATAGAGCACAATATGTCCACATTTAAGCTGATGATTGGGCTTGGAATTGTTCCCATGTTTCTGTATTTTATTTTCATTTATGTATTTATTTATTTATATATTTATTTTAGTTACCATACAGACATCATTAATTTTGATGTGTTTCAATAAAGTCACTGTTCAGATTGGAGTTGCAAGAGCTAAAGGAATAAATAGAACAAGCTTCAGATCAGAAAATTCGTGTCAGTATACCTCCTAATTGTGGTCATGAGACAAACAATAAACTTAATCTCTCAGGAGTGACAAGTACTCACAGGGGCTAAGAACCAGCATCTTGGTATATTGTGAATGTAGATCCCTGATGACAAACTATCACAAGGTTTGATAGAATATTTAATGGATTTCTTGTCATCATGTGACTAAAGGTGTTATAGTGAGAGGTTCTCCAGGACCATATCATTAAATCAATCCTGTCCTCATGCACTCCTATCCTGTAGGATGGGGACAAATCTTGAAAATCCTCCCCACACCCCAGTGGTCCTGGCAGGATGGGAGGAAGATGACTCAGAGCAGGAATGCATGGAGATCCATGCTTCCTGTGTTCACCACAGAAATAAGGAATTTATCTGAAGCAGCATCCTGGGGTCACAGGTGGAGTCCCATAGTATCTGGGAGAGAAACAGACGTCACAATCTCAGGTCTGTTGAGGACCACACACACTTTTCACATGGAATGAGAACCTTAGTCTTCAGGGAAAAGTAGGGAAACAGGAAGCTGAGGATACCCAGGGACCACTGGAGCTGTGTGAGCAGACAACCGGGAAGAACAGAATGACTGTGTACCCAGAGACAGGCAAAAATACATGGACTTGGACCACTGGTGGAGGAGGGGCAGGGACACATGAAGTCCTCCCCTGACCCAGGTTCCTGGGAACACCTGAGGCTAAGGCTACATCATCAAGTCAGAGTCCTTGTAGTCTGAAACCTTCCACCACATTAATGACTGTCACCTGAGTAAAGCAGAGGAGTGTACTGGAGAGTGGAAGTAGATTCTACATGGGGGAGCTCAAGGAGATCACAGCGATGATCCGGGAACAGAAACAGGAGATCTCTGGAGGAATCTGAACACTTGTGTGGCTACAGCAGAGACACATTTCACTGCTGCTACCCAGATTGCCGTTTTCCAGTGGAGCCAGGAAGAGAGTCACGCACTCCACAGCATAGGCCTCACAAAGAGAGGGTGTGATCATCTACAGGAAGCATAAATGTAACAATATAATACCAAGTGCTCTGTGCATGGTAGACATTCATGAAACCCCACCATAATTCCAGGGGCTCTGTACAGTTAGGGAAACTCTCTGTTCCACCCGCCCCTCTATTCCCTTGTGGTTCAAGTCCTGGGTGTGCAAGTTTGGGGAAAGCAGCTCCACGTACAAATCATGTGGACATTTGTCAAAGCTGGGTCACTCCACTGTATTTGGTAATTCAGAGCTGCTCCACTCATCATGAGTGGATTTAACTTCCCTGAAACACCTTCATGACCAGATATGTTCACGTGTAGTAGACAGAATAGGATGGCAGAGATGTCAGATTTAGTCATCGCTCCAATCAGTGTCACCTCCTTGGGAACTTCCTTGGAGACCACTCACCTCTCAGTGACACATTTACACAAGTAACGCCTTCTCTGTTCCTGCAATGACACTTCACACCTGTGTGATAGGGGCAGGTCACCCCCTTTAACCTGTGTCCTCATCACTGCACTCTGTGATTTAGATCAGTGCTCTGTGAAGGCTCTTCTCTCGTTGTCTTCATGAACAGAGCTGTGGATGCAGGATCTTGTCCCCTGGCTCCCCTGTAGGTTGTTAATGTGAATTAAATATTAAATACACTACCTGCCTGAATGAGGGATTGAAGATCATGAGAAGCTGGAAGATCCAGTTGTGAGGACACATCTGGACCCTGTGTTAGGGCCTGGAAGAGTGGGCTGACCAGCTTGGGGACTGTAGACGGGAAGAGACATCCACAGCATAGGGGTCCAGGGGCGTCTCAAACTCACAGTTTGTTCTCTGGGTCCTTAATTCACACAGACAGAGGTGAGTGTTCACCTTGGCTCCAGGGTGTGTGTGGACCTGGATAGAGAGCAGCTGACATCACTGCTCAGAGGGAAGGCAATAAACAGGAGTGTTTATATTTATGTGGGTGCAGCTGGGTTACTATGGGGTTCTCATCCCCAGGAACAATACAACTGGCATGTGGGGTAACAGGTGTCTGTGATGTGCACATTGTCAATGACAACTTTGGCTGGATACTAGGTTGTGTTACCTAGTTAGTTCAGAGACCCATTAAGAAAAGGACTGCATAGGGGCATCTGGGTGACTCAGTGGGTTAAAGCCTCTGCCTTCGGCTCAGGTCATGATCCCAGGGTCCTGGGACCAAGTCCCGCATTGGGCTCTCTGCTCAGTGGGAAGCCTGCTTGCCCCCCGCCCCTATCTGCCTCTCTGCCTGCTCATGATCTCTCTCTGTCAAATAAATAAATAAAATATTTTTTTTTTAAGAAAAAGATTGCATCAACATCTGAGAGGAGAACACAGATAGTAACCTTTTAGATCCTCAAGTGCAACAACTTCTTGCAAGATGGGTCTCTAAAAGCAAGGGAAACACAAACAGAAATGAATTTTGGGACTTCACTAAAATAAAAATCTTCTGCGATGCAAAGGCAACAGTCAACAAAACTAAAAGGCAACTTATGGAATGGGAGAAGATATTTGCAAGTGACACTACAGAAAAAGAGTTGATATCCAAGATAAATAAAGAACTTACCAGCCTGAACACCCAAAAAACAAATAACCTTTCAAGAAATGGGCAGAAGGCATGAATAGACACTTCTCCAGAGAAGACATACAAAAGGCCAACAGACACATGAAAAAATGTTCCACATCTCTTGTCACCATGGAAATATAAATCAAAACCACAACGAGATATTACCTTACATGAGTTAGAAAGGCTAAAATTAACAAGACAGGGAACAACAAATGTTGGAGAGGAAGTGGAGAAAGGGGAACTCTGTTACGTTGTAGGTGGGAATGCAAGTTGATACAGCCACCTTGGAAAACAGTGTCTAGGTTCCTCAAAAGTTAAAAATAGAACTACCCTATGACTCAGCAATTGTTCTACTGGGTATTTACCCCCAAAATACAGATGTAGTGAAAAAAGAGGCACATGCACCCCAATATTCATCGGAATAATGTCCACTATAGTGAATCTGTGGAAGGAGCTGAGATATCCTTCCACATATGAATGGATAAAGAAGATGTGGTCCATATATACAATGGAATATTACTCAGCCATCAGAAAGAATGAATACCTACCATTTCATCGACTTGGCTGGAACTGGAGGGTGTTATGTCATGCAGAATAAGTCAAGCAGAGAAAGATAATTATCCTATGGTTTCACCTCTATATGGAACATAAGGAATAGTGAGGAAGACCACAGGGAAAGTCAGTTATCATATGGTTTTACTTACATGTGGAGCATAAGGAATAACACAGAAGATATTAGGAGATTAAAGGAAAACTGAATTGTGGCAAATCAGAGGGGGATATGAAGCATGAGAGACTGTGGACTCTTAGAAACAAACTGAGGGTTTGGGAGTGGAGGGGGTGGAGGGATAAGTGAGCCTGGTGGTGGGTATTGAGGAGGGCACGTATTGCGTGGAGCACTGGGTGTGGTGCATAAACAGTGAATCTTGGAACACTGAAAAATAAAAAAGAAAATCAGGGAGGGAGACAAACCACGAGAGACGCTGGATTCTGAGAAACAAACAAGGATGACAGAAGTGAGGGTGGTGGGGGATGGGGCAGCCAGGTGATGGGGATTAAGGAGGGCAGGTGATGTGATGAGCACTGGGTGTTATACGCAACTAATGAAACTCTGAACACTACATCAAAAATTAATGATGTACTATATGCTGGCTAACTGAACATTTAAAAGAATATAGACTGCTTTTCACGTTTTTTAAAAATTTCTTTTCAGTGTTCCAGAATTCGTGGTTCATGCACCAAGGAAATAAGGGCTTTCAATGACACACTGGACCAGATAGACTTCTTTGTTATTTATTTAGGCCCTTTGTCTTTCATTTTGATAAACTTAGGTAGAGGATTCTCAGGTGTGTTGCAGTTTTTTTCCCCCAAAGTGTCATGTAATGTGATGAGCACAGGATTTTATACTGAACAGATGGCGCATTGAATATTATATCAAAAGTCAATGATGTCCTATAACTTGGCTAATTGAGTTAGAAAATAAATATGCAGACCCTGGTTTCTTTGATATGATCTGTGTTTCTTAGTTTCTATATAATCTCTTTCTGCTCTAATCTTGCTATTTCCTTCCTTCTGCTATATTTAGGATTCAGCTGTTGCTTTTTCTCTAGCACCTTTAGGTAATGTCAGGTTGTTTATTTGAGATTTTTCTTCCTTCTTGAGGTCTTCCTGTATGCTGTGTATTTCTGTCTTAGGACCACCTTTACTGCAGAGGAATTATAGGGTGGTGATAGAGGCTTTATACTCATTTCTTATGTTTAGTTTTATTTTTTTCGTTGGAGGTTTTATACTCGTGTGTGTGTGTGTGTGTGTGTGTGTGTGTGTGTGTGTTTGTGACCTTCTGGCTCTGCTGGAGGTTCTTGTGATCCACAGTGAGAGCCATTGTGATTCTTATGAGGGTTTCATTGATGTGTATCACGATATTTGTAATTTATTGATATTTAAGGACAAGAGGAAACTAATGTAACTGACTCTTTTTTTTTACATGTTATTATATTTTTCTTCCTGTTACAAGTAAGTTTCTAAGTCAGAGAGTGAATAGGTAAGCACAGAATAATGTCAACTAGGCTCCCTTGGGGAAACTGCTATAAGGAGAGGAAACCCCAGACCCTGACAGGAAATATGCCATGGCTTCCATCTGCACCTGCTCCTGGGATTAAAGACAGAATTGGTGCAGAGTGTGCACCCTCTGCTGGTCTGATACCCTTGTAGTTTGAGGTTTGTGTCTGGGCTCACACTGATGTCCCCTCACTGTGTCTTTTGCACAGAAATACACGGCCGTGTCCTCGGTTCTCAGGCTGTTCATCTGCAGATACAGCTGGTTCTTGCCGTTGTCTCTGGAGATGGTGAATCGGCCCTTCACAGAGTCTGCATAGTATGTGTTACTTCCATCATAGCTAATACTTGCGACCCACTGCAGTCCCTTCCCTGGAGCCTGGCGGACCCAGCTCATGCCATAGCTGCTGAAGGTGAATCCATAGGCTGCACAGGAGAGTCTCAGGGACCCCCCAGTCTTCACCAGGTCTCCCCCAGACTCCACCAGCTGCACCTCGCACTGGACACCTGTAGATACAAGACATCCCAGTCAGGAATCTGTCACACACATCCATGGTTTCTCTCACTCATATACTTTCACATCCTCAATTTGTTTGGTTCTCCAGAAATTACCTTTTAAAAGAGCAACAAGGAAAACCCAGCCCAGCACAAATTCCATGGTGAGTTCTCTGTGTTCTGTCTTGATCACTGAATGTGGACACCTGGAAATCCCAGGACTGGGGCACCTCTCCCAGCTGCATGGTCCGGGCTGAGCTGTTTTATTCAGTGGAGGGAAGACCCTATTTGCATATCCTCTGAGTATATAGTTAGCTCTAGACTCAGGTTCAATTCTTTACAAGTTAAAAACAAAGATTGCATTGTTTGTGGATCACTTTGTTTAGATGGCACTTTGACAATATGCAGTATTCTTTTTTTGTTGTTGTTTGGTTAAAAAATGTATTTATCGGGTGCCTGGACATCTTAGTGGGTTAAAGCCTATGCCTTTGGCTCAGGTCATGATCCCGGATTCCTGGGATCGAGCACCCCCATCAGGCTTTCTGGTGGGCCAGGGAGTCTGCTTCACCACTACCCTCTCTCTGCCTGCCTCTCTGACAAGTTGTGATCTCTGTCTGTCAATAAATAAATAAAATGTTTAAAAAATGCATTTATGGTTTATAAATGTTGGAACAGGACATCGATAATATAAATTCCCATTCAGAGTTAAGAATTCTATCAGAGCCAAGTTTAAATATACCTTTAATATATGAATGAATAAACTTTGCAAAAGTACTAGGACTATCAGTTTCCAAGCTTTCTGTTGTGTTACATTGTCCTGCGTGTGTGTGTGTGTGTGTGTGTGTGTGTGTGTGTGTGTGTTTTAAAGATTTTATTTATTTATTTGACAGACAGGGATCACAAGCAGGCAGAGAGGCAGGCAGAGAGAGAGAGAGGAGGAAGCAGGCTCCCTGCTGAGCAGAGATCCCGATGCAGGGCTCGATCCCAAGACCCTGGGATCATGACCTGAGCCTAAGACAGACGCTTAACAACTGAGCCACCCAGGTGCCCCAACTGTGTGTGTGTTTTTAGGCCAGCACCATCCTGTTTTGATGAAACAGCTTTGTAATCTCGCTTGAAATTGGAGTGTGGTGACTCCAGGTAGCTTAGTTGCACATTTCCTCTCTTTCTTTCTTTTTTGAAAAAATTTTAATTTATTTAAATGTCTTTGCAGGGTTCAGCATTCATTTGTTTATGCACCATACCCAGTGGTCCATGCAACACATGTCATCCACAATACCCACCACCAGGCTTACCCAACCTCCCACCCCTCTCCCCTCCAAACCCCTCTGTTAGTTCCTCTGAGTCCACAGTCTCTCATGGTTTGTCTCCCCCTCCAATTTCTCCCAACTTCTTTCTCCTCTCCATCTCCCTATGTCCTCCATGTTATTTCTTATGCTCCACAAGTAAATGAAACCATATGATGATGGACTCTCTCTGCTTGACTTATTCCACTCGGCATAATCTCTTCCAGTCCCATCCATGTTGATACAAAAGGTGGGTATTCATCCTTTCTGATGCAGCATAATACTCCATTGTATATATGGACTATATCTTCTTTTTATTTCTTGTAAATATTTTTTAAATTTCTTTTCAGTGTAACAGAATTCATTGTTTATACACCACACCCAGTACTCCATGCAATACATGCCCTCCATAATTCGCACCACCTGGCTCCCCCAACCTCCCACCCCTGCCCCTTCAAAACCCTCAGGTTGTTTTTCAGAGTCCATAGTCTCTCATGGTTCACCTCCCCTTCCAATTTCCCTCAACTCCCTTCGCCTCTCCATCTACCCATGTTCTCCATGTTATTTGTTATGCTCCACAAATAAGTGAAACTGTATGATAATTGACTCTCTTAGCTTGACTTATTTCACTCAGCATAATCTCTTCCAGTCCCGTCCATGTTGCTACAAAAGTTGGGTATTCATCCTTTCTGATGGAGGCATAAAACTCCATAATGTAACTTCCTTATCCATTCGTCCATTGAAGGGCATCTTGGTTCATTCCACAGTTTGACGACCGTGGCCATTGCTGCTCTGAACATTGGGGTACAGATGGCCCTTCTTTTCACTACCTCTGTATCTTTGGGGTAAATACCCAGTAGTGCAATGGCAGGGTCATAGGGAAGCTCTATTTTTAATTTCTTGAGGAATCTCCACACTGTTCTCCAAAGTGGCTGCACCAACTTGCATTCCCACCAACAGTGGAAGAGGGTTCCCCTTTCTCCACAACCCCTCCAACACATGTTGTTTCCTGTCTTGCTAATTTTGTCCATTCTAACTGGTGTAAGGTGGTATCTCAATGTGGTTTTAATTTGAATCTCCCTGATGGCTAGTGATGATGAACATTTTTTCATGTGTCTGATAGCCATTTGTATGTCTTCATTGGAGAAGTGTCCCATAGGTTTTGGACTGAATTGTCTTCATTCTCATTGGTTTCCATGAATTGTTTCAGTTCTTCTTTGATCTCCTGGTTGATCCAAGCATTCTTAAGCAAGGTGGTCTTTAGCTTCCAGCTGTTTGGGTTCCTTCTGAACTTCTCCTTGTGATTGAGCTCCAGTTTCAAAGCATTGTGATCTGAGAATATGCAGGGAATAATCTCAGTCTTTTGGTATCGGTTGAGTCCTGATTTGTGACCCAGTATGTGGTCTATTCTGGAGAAGGTTCCATGTGCACTTGAGAAGGATGAGTATTCTGTTGTTTTAGGGTGGAATGTTCTGTGTATATATCGATGAGGTCCATCTGGTCCAATGTGTCATTCAATGCTGTTGTTTCTTTATTGATTTTATGCTTCAATGATCTGTCTATTTCTGAGAGAGGCGTGTTAAGTTCTCCTACTATTAATGTATTCATATCAATATGACTTTATCTTGATTAACAGTTTTCTTATGTAATTGGCTGCTCCCATATTGGGGGCATAGATATTTCTATAAAAGAAGAAAGAACCCAGGAGTGACATAGAAATTTACAGAGACAATATAGAAACAAGGACTTCTCAGACAACCTAATGTAAATAAAAGTGTATCTTTCAATAATCACTCTTAATGTGAAAGGCCTAAATGCTCCCAGAAAATGGCACAGGGTTGCAGACTGGATAAAGGGACAGTACATTTCCATATACTGTCTACAAGACACTTACTTGGAACCTAGAGATACATCCAGACTGAAAATGGAGGGGTGGAGTAGCATCTTTCATGCCAATGGGCCTCAAAAGAAGGGTGGGGTAGCAATTCTCATATCAGATACATTAGATTTTAAACTAAAGACTGTAGTCAGAGATACAGAAGGACACCACATCATACTTAAAGGGTCTAGCCACCAAGAATATCTAACAATTGTAAGTTGTTATGCCCCCAATATGGAAGCAGCCAATTACATAAGCCACCTGTTAATAAAAGAGTCATATTGATATGAATACATTGTTTGCATGGGATCTTATCATGCCACTGTCAGTAAAAGATCATCCAAGCAGGAAATCAATAAAGAAACAAGAGATTTTAGTGAAACATTGGACCATATGGACCTCATAGATATATACAGAACATTCCATCCTTAAACAATAGAATACACATTCTCCTTGAGGACACATGGAACATTCTCCAGAATAGACCATGTACTGAGTCAGATTTCAGGGCTCAACAGATACCAAAAGACTGAGATTATTCCTTGCATATTCTCACACCACAATGCCTTGAAACTGGAGCTCAACTATAAGAAAAGTTTGGAAGGAATTGAAACACTTGGGAGCTAAAAACCATCCTGCTCAAGAATGTTTGGATCATCCAGAAAATCAAAGAATAACTTAAATAATTCATAGAGACCAATGGGAATGAAGACACATCAGTCCAAACCCTATGGGATACAGCAAAGGCTGTTCTAAGGGGGAAATACATAAACTCCCTCAAAAAAAAAAAAAAAAAACTGAGAAATCCTCCCTCAAAAAAAGAAAAAATTGAGAAATCCAGAATACACCAGCTCTCATTACACCTTAAAGAACTGGAGAATCAACAACAAATTAAGCCAATCCCACACACAAGAAGGGAAATAATCAAGATTAGAGCAGAGATCAATGAGTTAGATATTAGATATACAGTAGAACATATCAACGAAACTAGAAGCTGGTTTAAAAAAAAAATTAGTAAGACCGATAAACCGCTGGCCAAACTAGTCCAAAAGAAAAGAGAGAGAACCCAAAGTAACAAAATTATGAATGAAAAGGGAGACATCACGACCAACACCAAGGAAATAAAAACAACCATCAGAAATTATTATCAACAGTTATATACCAATAGGTTAAGCGACCTAGATGAAATGGATGCATTCTTAGAAAACTATAAACTTCCAAAATGTAATCAGGAAGAAATTGACAACCTAAATCGACCAATATCTAGTAATGAGACTGAAGTAGTGATCAGAAACCGACAGCCCAGGACCTGAAGGATTCCCTGGGAAATTCTTCCAAACATTCAAAGAAGAATTAATACCTATTGTCCTGAAGTTGTTTCAAAAAAATAGAAACAGAATGAAAATTTTCAGACTCTTTAATGAAACCAGTGTTGCCCTGTTTACCAAAGCAAGAAAGACACTATCAAAAAAAAAAAAAATTCAGACCAATACTCCTGTTGAATATGGATGCCAAGATTCTCAACTATATCCTAGCTGATAGGATCCATCAGTACATTAAAAAGATTATCCAACATGACCAGGTAGGTGCCAATTCCTGACATCGCACAGGAGAAGAATGAGACACAAACAAATCAGCTGCAAGAGAGATGGAACAGGAGACATCAGTAGAAAAGACTGTTGCCCTGAACAGCTCCTCCTCAGTCCCGTTTTTTATTAGATGTAGACAGTTATCAACAAAGGAGCCAAAGAAGGCTACACATTAATCATATGCCTTGTAGATAAACAAGAAGGAAGTAAAAATATATCTGATAAAGCAGTATACAGTTTATAGTTGAGCAAGCACATTCAAAGTGATCATCTAATTACCACAGGTGCTCTCCAAGGTAGGGGAGATAATGGAAAAATGAATCAGGTGACATTCCACCCTGAGCAAGCCTGGCATCCCCAACTGATCATCTTCAAGGCCGTATATCATCCTCTCCACCAGAGCCCTTTTACCAGTATTTTTTTCATATGGCTATATCTAAACATGCTCAGTAACTATCATAACTTCTCATGGGTT